AAGAATATATGAAAAAGTGGTACCATCTATAAAAATTATGATGTACAAAAATGCTTGTTATGAAATTTTTAAAATACAAAATGTAAACTTTCACCCAAGTAAAAAATGGAATCTAAAGACAATTATTTTACCGGCTAACAACTTCTTTCAAGTCACTCGTACTCATTCCTTTCACAGCTCCATAAATTTCAAAATGTTCCTGCAATGTAATATCTGGCCACAGTGGGTTTATCTGAGGACAGTAGCCCATACACTTAATGGAATCATCATCTTCAGTTGCCTCTGAAGAATAATCTCCTAGAAATACCTACAGAAATACAAACCAATTTTTACTATTTTTACTTAATTTACATGTTAAGGAAGTGGCAAGTGGATTAATCCAAACCCTTTCCTACAGCCAGAGTATTTATTATCAGGTCAGATTTTTTACTCCTTTTTGATGATGGATATCTTAGAATGCAGTGACATGTACAGAAAAAGTAATTATAACGCACGGCTGGGTGAGAAAGCAAGGTGGAAGTTTAACTAGAATCCTCAGGGGGACTCACTGGAAGGTGGTATTTGAGCTGAAGAGTTAAGTGAATTAGTGAGTCATTTGAATTTCTAGGGGAAAGGTATCACCAAACATAGGAATTATCTTGGGCAAAACCTCAAAGAAAAGAGTATGCCTGGCATACCATGAAGGCAATGTGTTGGTGTGGCTGGTGTGCAGTAAGCAAGGGAGAGAGAAGCTGGAAGTGGGATCCAGGGCAGTTTTGTGACGTTTCCACAAAATGGTGAGTGACATGCTTATAATCAAAGACTAACTAATGATAGTGTAAAATAAAGACTAGCTCCCATGTATCCTGAAGTTAATACAATTGTCTTCCATTAAGTTGGTGGACAGGCCAGGCACGGTGGCTCACACCTGTAATCCTAGCACTCTGGAAAACTGAGGTGGGAGGATCACTTGAGGTCAGGAGTTCGAGACCAGCCTGAGCAAGAGCGAGACCCCATCTCTACTCAAAATAGAAAGAAATTATCTGGACAACTAAAAACATATACAAAAAATTAGCTGGGCATGGTGGTGCATGCCTGTAGTCCCAGCTACTTGAAGGCTAGGCAGAAGGATTGCTTAAGCCCAGGAGTTTGAGGTTGCTGTGAGGTGGGCTGACGCCACGGCACTCTAGCCTGGGCAACAGAGCAACAGAGCGAGACTCTGTCTCCAAAAAAAACAAAAAAAAGTTGGTGGAAAAATCACTCATGCATGTAAGAATTACAAAAGCAGAAATACCATATATGTATGTATGCATGTGTGTATGGAAATTTCACCATATACATTATTTTTACAGATAGCCAAAAAGAACATAATTTGGCCAAGCTAAGAATACTAAAAACATAAAAATTGAATACCAAAATCCCATTTGTCATTAAAAATTTATCTTAAAAATGTAAGCCACATTCAACATATCCCACACCCTTATATAATCATACCTGACCTGAAGTTGGTTCAATATCACCAACCAGAATATTAATAATTGTGCTTTTGCCTGCACCATTTGGACCCAACAATCCCAAAATCTCTCCTAAAGGAATTGAAAGAAAAAAAACCATTACATTCGAATCAAACTAAAAGTGGAAATTACTCTTCTGGAAAAGTTAAGAAAAAAATAATTAAATACCAGCCTTTTTTCACACAGAAAGAGATAT